ATTTGCTCCTAAATACGCCATGGTTTGAATACGCCGTCGCACCTCGCACAACACGGAGAGGCAGTTGACAGCTGTTTTATCTGGAAATTGCGCCCACGAATGCCAGATATGAACGCCTCGGGAATCACATTTTTTAGACCTCGAATGGCTTCGGTAATGGCAGGATTTGAATGACGTTATCATGATGTTGCAAATGCCAAGGCGACCTTGAAACACTGCCCGATATACCCTTCTCCATTTTCGCGGGCGTTTAGCTCATAAACTACAAGGGCTGCAAGACTCAAGCAGCGCGGGATTGTGACCAGCACTGAAAGGTCTTCATGATCGTTCGGTTCAAAACCCCATATAAATGTCGGAAATTTCTTTTAAGCCGATTGGGATCTTCACAAAATCCGTCACCGAATCTGGAGCGACTTCTTCAGATGAGGTTACCACACTAACTAATGCAAGAAGCAAAGAAGCCATGTTGGCATGTGTGCAGCACGCACGACTCACGAATCTTCTGGAGAGAAGAGTCGCGCCGAAGCAATGCACCATCGCGACGCTCCTGGGCACTTAACTTTGTCCAAAAAGAAAGCGCTCATCAATTGGCAATGTTTCTGCTCTCAACGCGGCATATTTCATAATGACGTATGCTCGGAATGCGACGTGAAGAAAGTCGTGTACGAATAAATGCGGTGCAAGTAATCACACCTACCGATACAAAAAAAAAAAATTTGAAGAACGACGTCCAAAAAGCGGTGCGAAAACTTGTGTATGCAAAGTTCGCCGATTGCGAAGATTTCCGAACGTGAAATTGCACCGATACAAATATGTGTGCGTCAAAATTATCGTGCGAGGGTTTGCGACACGAAAGTTAGCGTACACAGCACCAGGCGTGTTTTACCACCACCATCTTATACGAAGCTTTGTGCGGGAAGAAATGCTTCGTGAATAAATTGCAACCCGAAGTTGTGCCCGGTTTCGGGCAGCATCAGCTCTCAGCCGCCGGCAGAGCAGCCGTGGCTGGGGGCATTGTTGGCACGAGTTAATCTGTCGCCCAGCGAAGCGGCGCCAGCGTTCGCAGGCGCGCGAGTCGCTGCTTGTCATGTCTCGTGCGTATGACGTCTGTTGCGGTCGGCAGTCATCGCGGATAAAGCAAACCTCTTGCCCCCAGACGAAGCTGACGGCGCCGCCGAATCAGCAGAGCCAACCTTCTACGAGGTGTCCACGCAGCCGGGAGTCGGCAAGAAGGAAGGTACCTATAGACGCGAGCACCAGGGGCACAGCCCGTCCCTCCCGCTCTATCTCTGACGCACAGTGCAGGGCGACAGCCGGCCACAGGCTTGGTCGTGTGTGCTCGGACAGCACGTGGGGCGCCTCTCATGCTCCGAGGCGCCAGTGAACCAGACAGCGCGCTACATTTGCAACTGCTTATGCATCGGGCGCTCATGTATGGTCGGGCTTGACAAACGTTGAAAAACAATGGCGAAGACACTGGATGGCCGATGCTCGACCACCAGTTCTTTCATAATTCATTCCTAGACAGACCGCTTGGCACTTCGAAGCTTGTTGTCTTTACCCGCAGTCTTTGCTCGGGCATCAAGCGATTCTACTTTGTATTGTGGTTGTTGAGTTTTCTTCGAGGAGGCATGTCTTCATATTACGACAATGCCAGAATGTGCAGCAGTCGCAGCGCACCGTACTGTGCAGCTTATTCTGAACTGTCTTCCTGAGGTGCCGACTCGACGGAATCGATTGGCGCGACGGGCCAAACCGCTGATGACGTCACCGAGGCCGTGACCGGTACGTGTCGGATGGCGCCGCCCGCCAGCCGTGCGCGGCGCCGACAGCGCATTGTCCGCTAGAGTGTGATGCGGTTGGAGAAATCCTAGCGAGTGGGAATGTTTTCGCGTTCTTCTGGGCAAGCGGAAGCGGCGTTTCCGCTTAGGTGTGCTTGCGCTGGCATTCGACATCGACGCTTTGCATGATGATGAGTTATATTGGCGCCGTCGATTTCAATATTGCCTGCGGTGCTCACGACGCTTTACGAACTGGCACGTCGTGGTGCATTTTTAGCGGGAAAGTGCACATGTCGTTTTACAAAGGTGAAAGTGATATTTCCGTGCACGTGCTCCCCCCGCCACTGAAAGAGTATTGTCTAAGGAATGTATCCCGTGACATGAACATGATGTGGAGAATGACTGTTCCCCACTTCGCCTGTTTACGTCTTGCTCCAATATTTTCGGAATATTATTTGGAGGCGTGCTATTCCTTTTCCTTCTTGGTGCCCAAGGGGGCTACAATTATTTCGAATGGAGGTCACGTGTGTTCATTTCTCTAACGTGGTACACAAATGGTAATGTGATTTGAAGTGACTCCAGTGCGTTCTCGGCTCCGCTCCTACAGAAGCGGCTGGCGGGTCCGTCAGACGACGGCGCCAGGTGCGAACCACTGGTCCTCCACGGAGTAGCAGGAGTACCTCGCCCAGACCGTCCGGTGGGAGCGGCGGCGCCGCGCGGCCTCCGGGCTCCACCGGCCGGGCGCGGCTGACCGGCCGGCGGCTGCAGTCGGCGCCGCCGGAGCCTCGTCCGAGGGCCGCCGCCAGACGGCGCAGGGAGGCTCCGGGCAGGGCTCAGGTGGGCACGCGCGCACTACAGACACCGCCCGGGTGGGCTGGAGCGCACATCCTGACTGTGGACGCCGCCCAGATGGGTGGGCCGCACATCCTGTCTGTGGACGCCGCTCAGATGGGTGGGCCGCACACCCTGTCTGTGGACGCCGCTCAGATGGGTGGACCACACACCCTGTCTGTGGACGCCGCTCAGATGGCTGGGGCGCACACCCGTCTGTGGACGCCGCTCAGATGGGTGGGCCGCACACCGTCTGTGGACGCCGCCCAGATGGGTGGGCCGCACACCCGTCTGTGAGCGCCGCTCAGGTGGGTGGGCCGTAGACATCACGTACATGCGCAGTTTTCATGTTCGTGGCGACCGCTCGGCCCGTGTAGCGTCGATGGTAGTGCTCGGGCAATGTCGGGTGGAATACGCTCCCGTACTGGTCATAAAACAGGACTGCTGTGTCTTTGCTTCGCAGAACTATGGTGGGGATATGATGCAGCCCTGGATGTTCAAGAACGGCATCGAAGGCGGTAGGATGGTTGAGAGCCCTCGTGTTTATTCACATTCTAGCTAATGCACTTGTCGTTGTCAATCTGGAGAATGTAGCGCTTGAAGGGAAGTTGTAGGTGGGCCAGGCAGTTTGGTAGTCGCACGTCTGTACGTAGATTTTCCTTGTGCACTTCTGCCAGCGATGTGCCATGACTGCAGAATCAGGATCCATCACGACCTAGAGGACTCAAAGGGCTCATATTGCAAAGATGGAGGTAACTGATTCCAGTGTTTCCCATTACGGACAATTACGAGGGCAGGTACATCAGTCCAGGTCCACTGATCCATAATTCCCCACTTTTCACCATAATCCCCTGCCTGAGATTCTTCATTGTCATGTAGCCACTCATGCTATACCAAAAACCCATGAACATTGCTAACACTAGGGTCACCCTCGATTCCGGCAGTATTCTCGAATCATATCTTGTATCGATCAGAATAAACAGCATCTTGATGAACAAGATGCACCTGGAGTCCCATCCATGCATGTGTGGAAGCATTTTGTTCCATTTCAGTTGACGACGGAAACGGATCAATGACGTTCTTCGATCCCACATGCAGGTGTGAAATGACCTGCGACGTATACGGCTGCTACCAGTCCGGTGAGTCATCACGAGTCATTCGGCTGCTGGGGACCACCATGCTGTCAGAGTGACAGTGTGTTGGGGCATGGACACGTCATCACGTCCCATTTCGGGCGCAGCGTGCTCAGCATCTCTGTCAGTCGTCGTGCCCTGACTTTCGGTCTCAAATTTCCACTGTGCGCCGATTGCAGTCGTGTTTTAGCGACGCCAGCAGCGAGTGGTGAGGACACGGGGCTCGAGCCTTCGGCAGGGTGAGGCGTGTTTGCAAACGCGGGCGGAACAATCAGCACGACAGGTGTGACAGCACCTACACTCACTTTTCTCAACATAACCAACACCTTAAAACTCCGCTGGCACACAAGCAGTTGGTAGATTTCTGACCGCTCCGGTGACTCTCCACGCAAGCCTTTGCCAGTATCGTCCGCGGGGCGGGGAGCGGAGCCCCTGAACTGCTTGGAGGTATCTGCGGAACCGTGTAATGAAATTGGAAATGTCTGGGCTTGGTCCTTTCTCGTGATCTGGCAGTTTCAACTGCATTCATGCATGTCGCAGGCAGGAGCGTGAGGAGCAGAGTATTGAAACTGATGGCTGGTGACTCACCATTGTCGTGCTCTGCAGTACTTCGTCTTGTCGCGTGGCCTGGAGGTGCAAAGGGGTTTGATAGGACACCGTTTAAAGGTCTGTGGCCTTTTCCAAGGTGACTGGGTGTCAAAGTAACGGGTCAAACATCGAAGTGTTGGTAAAATTAGCCGACAAGGGCGTAGTCTCATGAATAAAACGACTGGCACGAGTTCGTGATGACTTAAGGTAAATTCCAGACCGAGGTCACATTTGGTCAAACGTTTAACTCGTTCAAAACAGTGTTGGTATAATTTAGCAAGGCACCACTATCGTCGTGATCCATTACATTTTTAAATTTGAGTGCGTGTGCGTGTGCGTGTGCGTGCGCGTGCGCGTGCGCGCGCGCGCGTGTGTGTGTGTGTGTGTGTGTGTGTGTGTGTGATATTGGGACTTTACGGCGCACTCAGCTGCTGAGGCTGTATGGCGTCGCCTGCATCTTACCCTGGCAGAAACGATGGACGTCGCGGGGAGTCGAACCCCGTACCTCTGGATTCCCAAGCGCGCAGTAGTTAGCGCAAACACGTTAACCATTGCACTACCGTCACATAGTTACCGGTACGGTTAAGTTTAAGGTGATCACATGTCGGGGCCCAAGTGGGTCATGATACAAGTTCATGACACCATCGCATTTCATTCGGAAAGTAGATGGAAGGGGATTTTCTACTCGAATCAGTCCCACCTCGTAGATACATGAAAAGCTACGCAGACACGACAGGAGTGCGTTCAACCTCGTTGGATCCGATCCGACAGTCGAACCGTAAGAGATGGCTTTAAATGCTTTGAGCAGGAAGCTGGACCACGTGCAGGACCATCATTCTTTTTCTTCGTTTTGCCCGCGTGGATCGGCCGTGAAAGCGGTGCGCGGGGAAGGTTTACGTCCGCCTCACGCTGCGAAAAGTGACGAAACCGCGGGGGCTTGAAAAGAGCAAATAGAGGTCACTGGGCTCGGCTCTCAACGCTAAAAGGCCTGGTCTCGGTTCCCCCAGGGCAGGGCTGGAGCACCAAGGGATTTGGAGGTCAGAACTCCATAAATTGCACAACGGGTCGTTAGGCCCGTGATGTTTTACCGCATGTATCGTTAGCAAACACGCAATGCACTGAGCGCCCGTTCGAAGAGTCCGTTTAGCAGCTCCGTGACCTGTCAGACTCCGTATTCGATGATCTGGGGGACAACAAGAGCTTTAGGAAGCTGCTGGAAAAGCTCAAGACCAATGACGGCGACCTGAAGATGTTGCGGCGGGCCTTCACTCCCTCCGCGGACGAGATGAAGCAGTACGGCATAAAGAGCTCGCAGTTCATCACCTCCTGCTCTCTGGACAACACCAAGTGTACCCACGAGTGAGTGGAAGTGCACGACGTGTTGGGAGAGATCTGGGTGAGATTAAAGCGTCTTGATAACACTTGGTGCCGCTCTTGCTGCTCAGATCTGCTTAGCTGAGGTAATTTGCGTGCATGACTTGACCTGCGCCTCATTTTCTACATCGAATTACCATATCAAATGCTGTTTCGATACCGGGAAGCGTATGCTGCATTTCTTCGAGAGAGCAGGAAGCAGACAAGAAAACATCACTGCATACTGGATAGCGTCGTATCACAATTGAAGTCATTCGGGCGCTGTTGTGATGCTGCGTTGACGACCCCTACGAAAACGGCAAACGGCTTATTTTAGAACTGAATGCGGGCACGTTGGTCTCGCAAAGCAATATCAAATTCGAATGTCCGTTTTCAGGGACTTCCATCGATGGCAGAGCGATGGTTATGGAAACTGCTTCACCTTTAACTCTGGCTTCCGCTACAAGAAAGCGGGGGGGAAGTGGATGCATCAAACGCCAAACAAGACCAGGTCCTATGGATCCCAGGTAAGGGCAGCTGTTTCACTATTTCGGCTACATACAGAATATATTATATGTGGCTACTATTGTTAGCTGGCCGTCGATACCATCATATAGTGAGGTTACCATTGCCGTCTGGGCTGCCGGAACGTGTGCAACATGCGCCGTGGTGAAGTGCAGGTTTGTGTACACACGCACACGCACACACACACACACACACACACACACACACACGCACACACACACACACACACACACACACGCACACACACACACACACACACACACACACACACACACACACACACACACACACACACACACACATATATATATATATATATATATATATATATATATATATATATATATATATATATATGTTTGTGTGTGTGTGTGTGTGTATGGTGAGTGTATGTATGTATGTGTGTATGTATGTGCGTGCACGTAAGAATGCATGAATAAATGAATGTGTGTAGGCCAGTATTACGGCTAGGTTTGCCTTGCATACTTACGCATAAGTCCCTCGCATTCACATATACCTTTTCACTTTGCGTTCTGTATTTTGGCGATGGGCCGGAACACCCACGTGTACGGTGCGAACCGTCCTGATATGCCTCTGACGTCCGATATGCCACATATTTTTCTCTGACGTCTGATAGGCCACGAACGGGACGTTATACGAGACCCATGTGTACGCACGGGACGTCATAACATGTGTACGATATGAATCATCCCTCCGTACCTCTGACGTCTGATACGCTACGGCCAGTCCGGTCTGCGCGTGACGCTGAATGTCGACCCGAAACGGTACGCCTCGCTGCTGACGCCGGACGTGGGCGTGCGCGTGCTGATCCACCCGCCCGACCAGCTGCCCTTCCCGGAGGAGAAGGGCTTCAGCGTGCTGCCCGGCCTGACCACCATCGTCGGCATGCGGCGGGTGAGTGGCGCGCGGCAGCACTGGCCCCGGAGTACCGGCGCTCGCACACAGCTGACACGCGGTTCCAGCGCTGCGACTGTAACGCTGGAATGCACTGTGCATGGTGTAACACTGCCACTGTAGCAGCGTATGCAGACAGGACACTTACACTGCTGACATGCCACTCCGAAACTGTAGGCGTGACAGTGCGGACACACAGCCCCGTCATTGTAGTGGTGCTGACAGCCCTGATGGCTAGTGAAGCGCCGTCGCCTCACACCAGCGCTGTTGACACACAATGCCAGTGGCGTTACACTGTCGACGCGAAGAAGTTACAATGTAAAGCCGCCAAGCTGATTTTATACTGGGGAACTGCTGACGTGTAGTTTCAGAAGTGTAATTATGCCGGCACGCAGTCACAGTGCTCCAAAGTGACTTTTTCTTCAAAACGCTGTCAGTCAAATACTGACAGTGCTTTCTGGCACCGTAGGCAATAAGCATTTGCAGTTTACTCCTGTAGTTTGGAGGGGAAGCTGCATTTGCATTGTGGTCTCGTGCAACACGTCTGACCCACAAGCATGCGGCTGCCACCCCAGAGGAAAGCGTCAGAGACGACACGCTGACGGCGGGTGTCTCCGTTTGCAGAAGCGGATCGATCGCGTGGACCGCCCGCACGGCACGTGCCGCTCCACTGCCGAGTGGGGGTGACAAGACCAAATACACGCCCACGGTCCGTCCGTGTGCCGTCGTCCGGCAGCATGTGTGCCATTCACGAAGAGCTTAGATATCGGACGTGTGAAGGGCGCTCACGGAGCCCTTTTCTGGTGTGGGATGGATAGTGACCGGCCGGCTCTGGTCGGTCGCCTGGCTCTTTTGATGCGTTGTGCGACAGGACAACGTTCCCGCGTCGGTTTGATGCGCGTCAGTCAGAGCACGGCTCTGAAAACCGCCGTGCCAGGGCGCCAATGCACCTCAGCAGTTTGACGCCCATTATTGCTACCTTCTTTGCTTGGGCCGTCAAGTGCTCGTGCGATCGGGGGTGGGTTTTTAATTTTTATATTCTGCGGCTGGTTTGAAACGAAATACTGCTGTCTATGCTGGATGATGCCCCTGTAAATGAACAACGATTAACTATAATACCAACTTTGTATGTATACATGTATATATATATATATATATATATATATATATATATATATATATATCCCTAGCTATAGCTGCGCGGCGGCTAGCAGGACCATTTGACATGACGCGTGGGTGGCTGGCCGGTCGGGCTGTGTTCTCTGGTGGACGTGGCCGGCTTGGCCGACCGACTCGCCTGACGCCGCCGTGTCCGGCAGGCGTGCCGCAAGCGCTGTCAGGAGGCGGGACATCCGAGGAGACCTGCAACTGCGCACGATTCGGTGAACAAGGCGCTGACGATCGGCCTGCCGTCTGACCTGCCGCCCTGCAATCCGCCTGACCAGCCTGGAGGACGGTAGGGGGCGCGGCGAGCCGCGACGGGGCTCGGGTCGCTGTGGCGTTTGTGCCGACCGACTGGCGCCAATCAAGGGGGAGTGCGGCGCGGTGTGGGTTTCCAGCTGACCCCTTCACAAATATATGGAAACAATCTAACGCCGAGTAGATCTGCGTGCCGGGTTGTATTGTTCAGCTGTATTATTGGGTTATATGTACGTTTAGATGACCTGGAAATATTGGCTTGGCGTGTGCACTGACAAGTAGGCATTAGTCAGAGCCACATATCTGTGTGCAGGTAAAACAATATTTGAATATCAGCCGAGCCTTACGTCTCAAGTCTGAATAGGATATCCACATTCATGAAATTATAAAAATAGTAATGACACAAAACCGCTATAAGCTTTACTAAAGTTATGCTAGGAGGGAAATAATCGAGCTCATTTATATTTGTTAGTCTTTCTCATGACATTGATAAGTACGCGTTGTGTCCAAATTTTAAAGAAACCGTTTGCGCACAGCTGATTCCGGACCTTTTATTTCGGAAGGGATCTGCTGTGCGCGTGAGGTATGAAGTACGGTGTTCCGCGCAGCATATGCGCTACATTTTCTGGTAAAAATACAATCCCAGATCCATTCACTCAGCCAACGCTGGGCATGTACCAAAATGTCTAGGCACAGGCTGCACTCAGAAGCTGCAAAATAAGCAGAGCACTCGTGCATTACCGGCGGTTTTTTTGTTGCTGTGCAGATGCTACCGAGCTATATCGAAGTAATTTAATAATTTCAGCACTCGAAGGAGCTGGAGGGGGCTGACCCGCGTTTAGTTCCAGTGGTTGAGCGCCGTGATTACATGTGTACTAGAAATTTAATAAATCACATCAAAGCTTCAAAGACAACGAGGCATTCATCATGGGCTCCTCGAGACTCTCGGTGTTACAGGGCCGTCTACGTTGCGGTAGACCAAATGAAAACGAAGGTGTGTGGTGTACTTCCGTCTTATTTAGGGGTCAGATAAAGGTTAGAAATCCAGCTATAAAGCCGAAAACGTACATCGTCGTATTTCCATCATAAGTACGTACCAGGAGCGCATTCAGGCACTCCAAGATAGGGATTCAAGTGGCAAGTTGAAAAAACTGACACTAGTTGTGTTTCTTTTATATCACCCGGCTTCGCCGCTGCACGATGTATCAAACACTTCAAACTGACTTGTAAACTAGGAAGTGTTACCCAAATTTCAGTTGAATTTGAACTTTGAAGGAAAATTAATTACCCCATCTCCTAGCTGTCACCGTCGCTGTCCAAGCGGTCCGCTTGGGTATATATACAGTATTGGATACAGTCTACGGTCTACAGTCTGCGGTCTACGGTCTACGGGGGGGGGGGGGCAGAATGCATCCCCCGCAGATAAGTGTAAATCTTGCGGTACGGGGAGAACAAAGTTGGACTCCTGCCCATCTTATTACACCCGGGCCAAGATCTCAAAACCTTTGCGCATCCCTTTTGAAACGTGTATCCCGTTACGAAATCACTAAATGGTTAAAGAGCTATTTCCCCGAAGGAAGACTTATAGGAAAGTAATATCTGATCAAGTAGCTCGATTCCTTTTAATATGTAGCCCTGTCTTTTTTTGGAGCACGTGTTCTATTACGAAATTGCCATTTTAATGTCGAGAAAGTGACCATTTTGCTGTCTGCGAAGCCCCTGCAGACGACGCCCGCTGGGTGGCTGTGTTTCAGATCGGTGTCGGCAGCGGGTCAAGTCGAAATACGCCCACGGTGTCAGCACCTGTGACTGCCCCCCAGCCTGTGTGTAAGTCAATACATGCGCGCGCACAGGGGTGCACACCACACACACACACACATATTCACACTCTGTACACGAATATGCGAGGCGAGACGAGCGGGTAGCTCAGCCGCGTGCAAACACCAGACGGGCCTCCGCACTGACCTGGAAACCTGACCTGACCTGACCTGACTGACCTAACAAGCGACCCTTTGCTAGCTGGCCTTCGACGGATTGAATCGGCTTTGTCGCCAGCGCTCACCTGCAGTCCGCTGGCCATTGGCGACTGAATAATGCTCAGCTGTTGCTTTCGGGCTAATGCACGTCGAAGTAGGCATTCAGTCCAAATGGTCAGATTGTCCACCACCATCTTGGTTTTCGATGAAATTTGATCCTGAGAGTGCACCCCCTTGACAGACCACCCTCTGCCAGTTTGTAGCCTGGGTGACCCTTGAGTTCAGAGTCGGATGCTCTCGAACCGCCTGAACGACTTGGAACCCAACGGTTTGGAAAGCTCTGTAACGTTATGAAAAACTGACGTAATAGTGCTCACCAGTGTAGTATGTGTATACCCTATTCACACAATGGTGTCATTTAAGTCGTGTAGAGTAATTTCATGGCTCATCTCATTGGCACTTGTACGGGAATGGGGTAAATTTGGCCCCTTTATTTTTTTCTGCCATATTTTTCCTGGAAAACTTGGTTTAGGAGGATATGTTGACGTTCGTTTTTAATTCTTTGCTCACAAGAACGCCAACAGTCCAATTCTTTTGACTTTCTTAAGGTCAGGGGAGGTCGCCTGACCATGCATGTTCTCGACCATCCCGTCGCTTGCGGAATATGCCAACAACGATAGTTCTTGATGTTTATTTTCGTTTAACTAGTGACATAATTTAGATTGTTTCGGTCATTTCGACCTTCTACTGGTCAGATAACATCACTGAACTAAGGTGATCCCGAGTGGCTTTCTCTTTAGAAACGGGTATGCAGATCAAACTTGGTTCAACGAAAAAACCTGAGGGCACTTCGGACGATCTCATTTTTTGACCTTTTCCGACCCCCACTGACCTGAAGACCATGACCTGGAGGTCTGAAAATGCGAAGCAAGTTACTTCACATAGATCCGAACCCACGCTGTCAGTTTGGTGTCGCTAGTTTTCTCAGTTTTTAAATAATTTTTCAGCGGGGCGTCAAATTGACCTCTAAACCCCACGCGAACCCTTCGCATTCAACCGACCATCCAGGTGTGTGTCAAAAGTGCGGGGTTTCGTCTTGTTAGAAGCCCTGTCAATTCGAAGTACTTCGGATTACACATTTCGCGTGGGTCCGATTTTCCTTCACATGTCGCGTTACAAGCCTTCATGTATTTGTAGCGCTGTGGTAAACGCTTTTTTAGGTAAATGAAATCGTCTGAGGTGAGGCATTGGATGTCCCCATCTGTAGCTTACACATTTTGCCCTAATAATTATCACATTGGGCTCTACCAACGTCATGACTTCTAACATAGCTGAATAACTAGAAATCAATCATAATATGTCACAATTAATCATAATCATAAATGTAAAACATAAATCAAGTAACGCCCGGTAGCATTAGTTGAGACGCCAGTATGAGTTGAAGGCACATATGCTACTGACATTCAAATTACCAGGAGGTACTGGTTAAACGACTCCCTAGTGCTAAACAACGATAGAGCCTCTTAGAGCTGTGTGACGAAGGTCGTGCATTTGTATGGATTCGACGTATGATTTCATGATTGAGTGTGGAAGTGCTTGACTTTCATTGCGTAACGGGCGAGTTTGTTGTGGTTTAACTACCTTGTGCTCAGGCACGTGCCCTGCGCTTTTGCATGATTTGTTTGAATGCATTCCTCGTGCACCGCGAAAGTAAAGTTTGGGCAAATGTGAATGAGTATTTGATATTGTTGCCACATGCATTACCAGAGTACTGTGACCAAGGATATCGTCAAGGTAAGTAGCATTGGTCGATGCATAGAGGGTCACAGACGTAGTAGAGCGGTTGGGTTTATTGCTGGGACTTTATGACCAACGTGGTATCTCGGTGAGGCACGCTACGCTTGTACACTAAGCAATTACACTTCTTTTTTGCCGCGAGCAGCGATGCGGCGCGCTCCCTGGTGTCAGTGTAACGACGCCAGGGGCAGCAACATCTGGCCATGGCCAGTTGGAGCATACGGACCATCCTAACATAACATAAAAAATCATTGAGTCCAAAAACTGAAATGCTTCGCATTTCAAAAGTGGCTTCCTACTGAACACTGTTCAATGCGGTGGTCGTCTACCTCTTGTGGCACCTCAGTTAACCATTTTCATCGCTGTTTTTCAACTTCATCGTCGTTCTCCTCAATTCCATTTCAAATTTCTGCTTCGTTCTGCACTCTCAGGCTCAGGGACAGACCAGCGCACAACGACCTTGATGTGGCTGCAGCTGCCTTATAATACCATGCTTATGTTTGCATGCACTTCCTAAGTAATGTCAACGATGATGCAGTTAGCCATGCTTATTATATACAAAAATGAGTATAAGCCTCTGATCTCAGTCGCCACATGATCCTACTCGTAGCCATGAAACGGCCGTCTCACTCCAAAGAGGGATGTTTGCCTTGCCGCACCAAGACTTTATGCGTTGTGGGAAGGGCTTTCTTTCTATCATGGGCCTCCACCATTCAAGATCTCTGTGGTGCGGGGAGGAGGCTTACCCGCTGGTCATGACTTGTGCTCACCAGCCGCCGCATAATGGCTCCTCATTACACACTATCCCTATGTGTTGGCTTACCAGGTCATGGCACGGGCCCTATGCAGTGGTTTGGCTCTCAACCACCTAAGATCTTTAAATTCATTGATCTCCTTTCATTCATGACACGATGGCGCACGACCGCTGCCGACCGTATCCGATCCTCCATAGCCGGGATCTCTGCGCGACCATCACATTACGTTGTTGGTCACACGCGGCCCTGTCGCATACGGACGCCGACCATACACGTAGGATGCAGCGTCCTTTCAGCCCCCTCCCCCAGGTACAGGGGCCTCATAACGCCGGAGGGCGGGCGCACATGTATGTGAGGGGTGGTCAGCCGTCCACCTGACGCCGTCACCCCTGCGCAGCATGACCCTGCGAACGGGCTTAGGCACGAGCAGATAGCGTGTGCGAGGACAGTGCATATATGCTAGCTTCCAGCAGACATGTGCCTGGATCCCAATGGTGGATCCAAAATACCGAGGGTGAATTCAGTATCCCAATGGCAAATCCAGGACTTAGTAAGGATCCCTGCTTATGAGACTCGGGATCTTTTGGGACTCCCGGTACATGTCTGGTTGCAATGTTATTAGGGTTCCGATATCGTCCCAGACCAACGTGACTTCACGCAGGTCGCGGTGGTTGAATCATGCTTCGCAGGACAGCGAGTTTATTCTTGGTCTCTACTGCAGGGAGGATCGATATGATCAGACCGTCTCCATGAATCTCCCCAATAAGATCTACTACAAGATCATCAGGAACATCACGGACGGCTATGCTGGCGGAGATATCTGTGATACGTGAGTGGTACCCTGCAAAAATGGCTAACCAAACTAACCTAGAAACTTTGTATGTTTGTCGCATGGTCCTGAGTCAGTGCCGGTTTCTTTTTTTTACAATGCCTGGAGAATACCTTACAGCGCACAAGTTAGCACGAGTATCCCATGCCCCCCCCCCCCCCCCCCCACTCTCAATGCGACTTCAGCTCCGGTTTTTTTCACACCGCAGGTCCGAGATTTCGAACAACACGATCCGACTCCAGCTGTTCCTAGAGGATCTCTCATACGAAAGCATCCACGAATCGGCGGCCTACTCACTGGAGGCGCTCATCTCCAACATCGGTGGCTTGATGGGGCTGTTCGTGGGCATCTCGGCACTGACGCTGGTCGAGTTCATCGAGTACGCGATGGAGCTGGTGACCAACGGCTGCCGTAACTGCTGCAGCAGCTCAGCCAGCAAACGCTCCGGCATCCGGCGCGTCGAGGTGCTGCCCCCAGACCAGCAGACCGGCATGCAATGTGAGTGCAGGCGTTACGATCTCCCCCTCACGTCTCCCAATCCCTTCTTTGGAACTTCTGTTGGGTCTAAGTTCCGCGGGTGAATTCAATGGCGGATCAGCTTCTGAAAAAATGGGACAGCAAAGGAGGTATCCGCTTCGTCCATGCAACGCTATAAGGTTGGCATTCTTTAAGGGGAACGACTGCTCCGAATCCGACGAGATCCGACGAGATCCGAATCGCGTATTCTGGAATGTGTTTAATCAAGCACACAAACCCCCAATGACGGGATCCGAACCGCGTATTCTAGACTTTGTTTAATCCAGCACCGGTCCGAGTCTTCGGTGACGGGATCCGAACCGCGTATTCTAGACTATGTTTAATCCAGCACCGGTCCAAGTTTTCGGTGACGGGATCCGAACCGCGTATCCTAGACTATGTTTAATCCAGCACCGGTCCGAGTCTTCGGTGACGGGATCCGAACCGCGTATCCTAGACTATGTTTAATCCAGCACCGGTCCGAGTCTTCGGTGACGGGATCCGAACCGCGTGTTTTGGAATGTTTTTTCTGTTTATTCTGGAATGAGTTTCCTTTCGAGGTCGCGACATGGAAGGCACAACTACTGCAGCGTGTACATAGGTGCCGAACTATCTCAGCCATGCTGTTTACAGTATGAGCCGCCCATGGTATGTGCTGGTACAACGATTTACGTTCACTAAACCAAGTAGTGCACTGGGTATATGTTCGAATGTAAAGCGCAGCCGTAACATTCAAAATGCATTACACTTCAACACATTCAATAGGCATTTTTGTTGATCTTTCGCACACGGACTATTTGTGGCAGTGGGGTCTGCGTCAGAACATCTCACCTAGACGTACCTTGTTGTGTAAACACTGCCCGCGCCGTGAAAATGGTCCGGACTGCTGCGCAATTCCCCTCATCCTGTTAGCCAAATGATGCCAGGAATTTCTAAAGTGTCACTGAAGATCATGACACAGCCGGGCGTGGTAAAACTTCCACTCCGCGGCTTGAAATCACGACGCCTGGAGTGGAAGTCCACAAACGTGGAGACGCATCTAAAATCCTGCGTTCAACTCTCGCTATGACAGGAGACCGGTGGGCTAACCACTATGCTTTCGGGACATCTGCTACATCCGGCGGCATCACTTCGATCTGGCCGCTCGATCTGTGCCCCGGCATGTTATGCCGTCACTGGGTGAAGTCCGTTTTAATGCACTAGAAGCGTCAGGCCTCTGGAGATGAGCGCCAGTTCTGGGGAGCTTGGCGCCGAGGTGCCGTCGCGCCGACGGTCTGATGCTGGTGTCGCTCTTGCCGGTAGGTATCACGGTCATCCACACGTTTGAGAAGCCTCCGCCTCACATCGAATACCTCCCGCCTCCGCCCAAGCCTCCGCAGACGGAGAGCGCAAGCCAGACGAAGGTTTCGCTCACGTTCCTCGGCAAAACGAGCAAAAAGGCCAGCAAGAAGGCCAAGGGAGGCCCGAAGCGCCGTTAGCCGCGCGTCCGCCGGTGCGCCGAGCCGTCAGGGGCGGCCGTGCCGTCGGCCTGGCTAGCGCGCGGCCGTGGCGACCCGCCGTCACCGCAGCGCGACGCTCTGTTTCAGACATCCGCGTGGTCCACAAGTTTGAGGTACCTCAGGAGACAGAGGTGCGCGACTGGCCGCAGCCGACTCTGGTCGACCGCCAGATGAGCACCATGGTCACCGTGCCAGTCAACGGGCCCGACAACAAGGCCTGGATGAAGATCAAGTGAACAGGCCGGGCGGGCGCGCCGCGCGTCGGCGCCGACGTCGCCGGTGCAGGGGCGGGGCGGGATGCTGGAGACGGGCGGCACTGGGCCGACGGTGGACGCCTGTCCTCGGGGAAACAGCGCGTTTTGTTCTGGGCTAGAGGCCGTGCGTGAACACGTTCGATGACGTTGTCCGTAGATAAAACCGCGGCGGTATAGCGCCACCGTCTCCGAGAGCTGACAGAGCCGGCCACGACATGCCTTTCTCTTGATCATCAGTGCGTGCCGAATTAACGGTATTGACCAATGTTGAGCCGCTTCCTGCACGTACAGAATGCTGCTTTACTCCAGCATCGTTCTATGAAATATTCGGACCGGTTTGTGGAGGCCGAGCCGGGTTCAGCCACACCATCAGAGCTCTTGCTGGTTTGACCGCACGCCCGTGGCGTCACATACAGCGGCGCTGGACCCGGAAGTACCATGTATGGTAAACGCATGCTTCGGTGGTTTGTCCGTCCATTCCGCATTTTGAGAATGCACCCATGTTTTACGCGCAACGAGAGTATGGTTTCAAGAACAATGTCGTAAAGAGATAGACGCACATCAAGGGCTTTTGTTAGCAAGGAGCTGTTAAGAGATATTTTACCTGTAAATGACGTGTGAAGCACATCCTATCTACATGCATGCCTTTTCACTCATGTGCATTTCATTTCGCCTGGATTCCAGTCAAAGGAAATAAAATTAAAGACGTATGCATTGAATTTGCTTTCGAGAAAGACGAACTAACCACCTGATCACCTTGTGCACACGGATAGAGATTCCATCCGCTTAAAATGTGGGAACACCTCCTTTCATATCACGCTCCGAAACTGTCAGGGAAGTCAGACAATAGCACCTATCAAGTAGTCTCCCTTTGAGGAATTCCAAACCAAGTATGGTGTCCGAATCAACTCGAAGACATGGACACAGAGGGATGAAAGGCCTGCTTTACGAAATGTAATCAGATAGTTGACACTGCCGCCAGCGTTACGTCATCCTCTTGCAAATGAGACCGACTTACGCACTGTCAGACAATGATGCTAGTATTGCATTGCAAGAGCTATTTGCAGCAACTATGAATTGGCTCCCCGATCCTTCTACATATCATTTGTTATCGTTGAGACTTTACGACGGCTGCTGCTGAGGTTATACGGCGTCGCTTGCCTTTCATCCTGGCAGGAAAGGCGGGCATCGCGAGGAATAGATATTTCCATATATTCTGATAGACTTTTATCACAATATGTTTCGTCCAATACCCCAATCCCAGGACGTTATCATTCCAGTGCGCCGAGCAATGGCTCCTCCATAGTCTAACAACTGAACCTCACTGCCGAGACTCGTCACAGCTGCCGAGGGTGTCAACTGCAGTTGTTCCCGCCACAGACCGTGCTGGAGAGACGGTTGCATGTGTCGCACCATGCCGGGAGACAACACAAACTGAGCAGCGGCCAAGCTCAGCAGGACACGAGCTGAACAGCGGCCGAGCTCAGCAGGACACGAGCTGGGCAGCGGCCGAACTCAGCGGGACACGAGCTGAGCAGCGGCCAAGCTCAGCAGGACACGAGCTGAGCAGCGGCCGAGCTCAGCAGGACACGAACTGAGCAGCGGCCGAGCTCAGCAGGACACGAGCTGAGCAGCGGCCGAGCTCAGCAGGACACGAGCTGAGCAGCGGCCGAGCTCAGCAGGACACGAGCTGGGCAGCGACCGAGCTCAGCAGGACACGAGCTGAGCAGCGGCCGAGCTCAGCAGAACACGAGCTGAGCAGCGTGTAGGTACCAGCCAGCCCTTACGCAGCATAACTATTATGTGCTGGGCAGGACCGCGCGCCAGCCGTCCCCAGCGTGACTACCAGGTGCTGGGCGAGACCGCGCGCCGGCCGTCCCCAGCGTGACTACCATGTGCTGAGCGAGACCGCGCGCCAGCCGTCCCCAGCATGACTACCGTGTGCTGGGCGAGACCGCGGGCCGGCCGTCCCCAGCGTGACTACCACCTGCTGGGCGAGGCCGCGCGCCAGCCATCCCTAGCGTGACTGCCATGTGCTGGGCGAGACCGCGCACCCGTTTGGCGGGTGCTGACACGTTTCGCCCATGGCCAGTGGCCACCTTACCACTTCGGCGGCCATGATAGATGGATGAGTATGTTCGGCCAGCGCACCTTACCCCAGCATCACCTTGATGTCATCAACCACTTTCCCCTGCAGAACACTCCCCGTCTTTGACCAGCGAGTATCTTTCGCCCTCGGACACAGCGACAGCGCCATCTTTGACCAGTTTGTCGAGATGGTGTTTGACGTTCACGGACGCGGGACGTCGCATGTAGAAGGGGATGTCCTGAAACAACAAGAGTTTGCGAGGCATGTTAGAGTTCTAACCGAGCTACGAATATCGAAAACAAGATGTGAAATTGGACGGATCTCTTCTCGCCGCTGAAATCAACATCACACTACCGACTAATAACAAAGCCCAGTCCACGTTCTTATGTACTGTGAGCCATGATTTTGTGACTCTCATCGCCTTCATAAAGTTATGGCAAAACAGACGGCTCTATCTGAGTGAGTAGAAGATCATACCTTGCTTATGCGGTGACCACACCATCCAAAACGCCTCAGAATGCGTTACCGGGGGTTACAGTGCGTTACGATGTCTTATCACAATGTTTCAATGTGGGGCCAGATCCACAAAGACTACCTGCCCAGGTCGGGATGCGGCCGCGGCCTACCGTGTACACGGTCGTCACCAGCTCAGCAACGGTGCGAGCGTCGGGGTCAGAGGCTCGGAGCGCCGCCACGAGCTGACGCTCCCGCTCCAGTCGGTGGTCGATATAGTGCTGGATCTTCTCCACCGGATTCTGGAGAAGACGCACTTTCAGACGCAATACTGCAGCATTCTCAAGACCACTTGATTGAATCATTTGGGAAAGAGGAGAAACCCCAGAACCCTAAAGAATGTGAGTGATAAGTCAAAGCATATCAAAATAGAGGAATTTGTTGCCTGTTTTAATATTTCAATTCCACAGGCATCAAACGTCAACACAACGTAAGGTCATAGCCGTGCCATAATGATCGGGCAGTGGCGGCACTGCCCTTCCATTCGAGCACGTGTCCTTAGAAAGAATTCCGAGGCTACAACAGCGTTGCACGGCCTGATGGAAGTGACTCGGTGGACAGCTGCGATGTGCTCTCCGTGTGCCATGTAAGCCTACATTGGGAAACATGGGCCGTGACGTGGGCAACCATCCTTACATCGGGAGCTGGTACCTGGGGACACATGCTTAAACGATATAATGTATTGTCACGCCGCATTGTCACGGTATTCCAACAAAGTCGCTCCGAAATGTTTTAGTCACGGTTATATATGATGCCCTCATTTTATGTTCCCCGGCCCTGTGTTGTAGTCTCCAGCCATCGCAAGACGGAAAAGGGTCAGATATCCGTAACGTAGCCCATCATAATACATGTATATTCTGAAACCACAGAACCTATGACCTATTTGAGTGCCTCTAAATGGTTTTACACATTCTTGCTGCTTTTTTAGGGCGCACCATTCTTCTTCCCCCATGACGTATTACGTATAACACCGCACGTTTTCATTCTACTTAATTTTGCATGTTTATTTCCATTTTTATCGTTACCATTTATTCACATCCACATTCATGCATGTCAAAATTTGATAAGGAGAGGGGTAAATGCCCAGGCGCCCCTATCGAATGGCCTACTGTGAACAACATTACATGCAGATTAGAGCACTTCTTCGGACCTTATTCCTCGCCGATAGATGAAGAGACGTTCAAAAATCGATATATTGATATTTCTACCACCGGCACGTGTCACGACCGAACAATGTAATCACTGACGGCTGCATTGTATCCGTCATAGCAAACACAACACATATACTGACTGCTCATTACATAAGGTTTCGACAAAAGTTTGTGTCCAAAACGTCAAGATATCCCCATATTTTCAACATCTACTATCATCAACGGCGAATAAAGGCAAGAGAAACGGTATTAATCTCAGGAATGGGTTGGCTAAGGAGACTGGTCCCAGATGAGGAGGCATCACACATGAGCAGCTGGATCGCACCCATGCCCCACCCAGCGCTGCTGCTCTTCACGGGGACCCGCAGACTTACCTCCACGACAGGTCCGTGGCCGGGGTAGATGACGCGGGGCGCCATCTCCAGCAGCCGCTGCAGCGAGGCCATGTAGTCGGCCAGGTCCTCGAACACCGCCGTCGTCTCGCCAAGGACACAGTCGCCGCTGAACAGGACGCCGCCCTCGCTCATCATCAGCACCACGTGGTCCGTGCAGTGGCCGGGCGTGTGCACCACACTGAGGGCGCACCGGGCGGCGTTACGCGCGGGCCGGCCTAGTACGGCCGCAGACACCGGCGCCGCGGCAGGCGGCGTCACCCGCAGGCCGGCCCAGTACGGCCGGAGACAGCGGTACCGCGGCCGGCAGCGTCTCGCGCGGGCCGGCCCAGTACGGCCGGAGGCGGTGCCGCCGCGGCAGGCCAGCCCGACACATGCATCGGACGAGTGCGCCCCGGGCCCGCCGCGGCTCGACGGCGCGAATGCGACACGAGCCCACTGACCGGCCAGCCCTCCTCCGCGGGATAGACGAGAGCTGCCGAAGATGGCGGCGGTGGACGGCGGATGAATCGAGCCAAGATCGCGACGTAAGCCCGTCAAAATGCAGTACGATCAGGCCAGCCGGCTGGGTCTTGCTTCGCAACAATTGGGTCGGTACCAAATGCAGGAAAAAGGGAGTCTTGCTACCCCACAATCAGGATGCCCAACCGCTTCCTCACTCCCCGAGAACAGTCGGAAGCCTCATAAGCATTCGCGCTCACTGGTCACAGCGAGCAGCGAGAGCACGATACCTCCCCTGGCATCGGCGACAGCGGGACCTACCGGAGCGTGGCGCCCTCTGTGCTGATGACGTCGCCATCACTGAGCAGCGTCACACCGGGCGTTTCCGCCGCCTCCGGGCGCGGGAACTTGCGAGCCGGCACGTCTGGGAGCCCAGAACCGGCGTCACAAGCAGCCATGCAGCGGGCTCGGGGGACAGCGCGCATGGCAAGGCCGCACGCAGCCGCACGTCGACGCCACTCCAACACCACCCCGCTGGTCCTTTGGGGTCAATGCTTCCGCACGGCCTGGGCGCAACAGTCGCTACCAGGCCCCCACGTCCACACAAATGAGGGAACTGCACTCCTCCCGCGCTCTCCGACTGGTGTCGGGAGCGTCAGTCAGACGGTGACGGCAGTATAACAGTGACGTCAGTAAGACAGTGACGTCAATAAGACGGTGACGTCAGTCAAACGGTGGCGTCGGTCAGACGCGGGCGAATGCTTGGCTGAACACGCCCGCAATGTTGGTCACGTGCCAGCGGAGTGGCATACTTGATTTTTTCGAACAACCGTGATATTTACTTTAACACCTGCCACCACTGTAGCCACCGCGCCCACAGTCACGTACAAAGATGTCCCGATACTGGGAGTCAAGTACTACACAGTTGGTAGGACTCTTCCCGGCCCCACTGACTAGCAGCGGGACGCGCAGGCTGCCGACCGCGCCGCGTACCTCCGAGCCGGCGCCGGATGTCGGCCAGCCCGCCCACATGGTCCGGGTGCCAGTGGGTGAGCACGACCTCCTGCAGTTCGGCGTCCGCCTCGCGAAGCACCCGCTCGAGCCGATCCACGTACTCCGGCACCGACGCGCTGCCCGTGTCCACGAGGATCCGCCTGCCAGCATCGTCACGTGCCGCACAGCCGCCATACGGCGTATCCCCCGTGGGAGCCAGGATCCGCCGGCTGGAGCCGCCACGTGCGGCGCACGGCCATCGCCGATCATGTCATTACACGGCACACCGGTGTCAACCAGCCTCCGCTTGGTCATTCTGTGACGACTGTGCGACATATGTAGCTCAACAAGCACTGGTGAGAGAGACCAGAGACGAGGTCAGCTCTGTCGTTTTTGACAGATCGAACAGTGAACATTACAAGCGCCCTACCCACCCCCGACAAAACATCCAAGGCGTGTTTTGAGGAGATTCTACCGCGAAGGAGAGCCGGGAGAACAGAAGTGGAGGGGGAGAGCAGGAGCAGGGGACTTAAGCTGCCCTTCAAATATGAAACCTTCGGCCCGAGGTACATACCCTGCTGCCATATACACCTAGTTTTTTCTCCGGTGCACAATTTTGTCTTCTCGACCTATCCAGTCGCATGCGTCATATCATCGGTCCTGCTAGGAACGTGCAACTTCACGATTGGGAAGACATTTTGGGTGAATCGGGAGTCACTTGGCTTCCCCTTAGAATGTTGAAACTGACATGCCAACATCGACGCATCAGTGGTAGAAGTAACCTTGTGCATCGCACCAGAACAGCATTGCCAAAAAATAGCAACCAGCCTCAAATAGCGCGGATATGCATCGCTCGGTCCAACAGTTAATACATTCATGCCACTAACGGCATGCTTGGATTTCAGGCCTGTGATTGGACAGCTTATAGACAAGTTCAAGGCGTGGAGTTCATGGGGTTCACATGAAGCAGCACGGAGTTCACTAGAATGGACCAAACCACGGTAACCTCGATGACGGGGTTCATCACAGGTTCTAAAGGCCAACGTCTCATGGTCAGTTTGGCGAATTATTCTCTGTGGGCATGGAACAATCTACTGAGTGAAAGGCATTTCCAGGGAAAATTGCAAAAGTCTCTTGAGAATCGGCGCTCTCATTTGTGAGGCAATAGTTTTCGACGTACCCCGTCTGAGAGCTCCGGAGTGGCAGCGCAGAAGCGCTTTTCAAGTTTTCCGAGTGGTGGCTTCAACAACGGTGCCCTTACATGTGGCATTTACACTCTACACCATCTACTGTGTGCTATGCACACTCAAGCCAGCGACCAGCAGCACACAAAAGTACACCTCGGCTCTTCTGTGAGCGATGCAGAGGTCGACATACAGCCAACTCTTCATCTCTTGTTAGAAGTGGACATCCAACCCGCAGTTGCTACGATTGCCTATGTCAGTACTTAACCGGACTTTGACAAAACGCTTCGCAGCTATGTTTTAGTATGCAAAGGAAATATGTGCATTCTCTGAATTGTCAAGGACTCGTCTGTGATCCACAAATTTATGGAGCGCATTTCAGCGCGGTGCAAATATCTGTGGAAGCTTCAGCTACGCTTTCAAAAACAAAACAAACATGCTAAAGCTATGCCAGGCAGTGTTCTTGGAAAGGGCCTGACCATGCTATCAGATCGTTAAATTAAAGGTTTAAAAGCAGAATTTAACGGCGAGATCTCGGTGAGCACCATGCACGGCGCCGCCTGTCGTAACCTCTAACGTTACCTGACCTTTAACGCGGCCGGCCGCTGCCACCGGCCGCAAGCGGTCCCCGACAGGGGAAAACGGTGAGCATCTGAAGAATCCTGGATCTGAATCAGGAAAAGCACAAGCGTGGGTCCATTTTCGGGGTATTGACCCGCCACGGGCTGAGAGACCTCGAGACGTACCGTCTGCCTGTGCCGACCAGGTAGGTGTTGGTTCCCTGCAGCGTCATCGGACTGGGGTTGCAGGCGAGCACGCGGGTGACGGCGTCAGAGAGCTGAGCGACGCCCGGCAGCGGTGTCAGGCCCGGCTGCAGGCGCCAGCTCTGGAGCCAGCCGAACGTCTTGAACACGGCGCGCATCAACATCGCCTGTCGACAGAGGCCGTGGTCACGTGACGACGATCGCTGGTTGAGACCGGGTCACGTGACGACGATCGCTGACTGAGGCCGGGTCACGTGACGACACCGGCTAACTTCTCGTGAAAGGACGCGGTAGGCGTGATTCGCGAGAAGCGTGTGTTCACGTGAACAGACACGTGAAGAAGCAAACGTGGGTAAGTCAGGCGTAACGCGCAACCGCCGCTTGGCCACGGGTCGACTTCGACGCAAATTGTTCTCGGAAGACGCGGGCGTTTCAGTCCTTTCTGCAGGAGCGGCCGATATCCCCCCCACTGAGGAAGTCCAACGCAGCCACTCGTCCCGGATACCCAGGCACCTACGGCCCAGCGATGACCGAAAAAGATCATTTCCAGGTTTGAAGCAAACGGGTGACATTCCGTAGTTTCAAAATTTTGAATGCAACTTTTGACGGTTATCGAAATTTGAAGCGGCATTCTGTCAGAGCGAGAAATAAACTGTCATGTCGGAAATATTTTGCAGGGCACCGTATCCTGCATATGCATCTAAAAGTTCTACGAACTGCTTCCAAGATGTGGGCATCTGAATGCACTTGAATGCATTTAATATTGCATAGGACTGTTGAGTGTATGCGTCCCTTCTTTTCAGATGATTGTACTTTGCCGTGTGCCTGGACAATACTGTGAGTGAGAAATGGAGGCATTCTGTGCAGTTGTTTTCACAAAAAGTTACTTTGCGGAAGATGAACGCGGTTCTTACCTATTTTTAACTTGGTTTCCCGGACAGGATTCCCAGTAAGAATTCAGTTGCTGGCACTATCACTTTTACGGCATCGAGCATAAGTTACAGGTCATCACCAGCTGTTTATACCTATGCTAATGCGGAAATCGGTCTGCTACGAGAAATTGGATGCTGTGACAAATGTTCGCTGCATTTAAATTCGATGCGAAGCGTCTTTGCCGCATACAAGGTTGGCTTCCAGCTAGCCGGCTAGCGGACTATCGGTGACCGATCGGGGGACCGTTGCGGCTGGCTGACTGTGGAGGGCTGGGAGGTTGAGGATCCGGGAAAAAGGTATACGCACAGATAAAAGCCATGAATTTGAGATGCATAAATCCACTCCATTGAACTCGTTCGTCATTACAGATTCGCACAGCTTCAAAATTAATTACGTGTTTACTACGATGTGTTACTAATGTTAGAACGTGTTCACGCATACTTAAATGGCCATCCTATCGCAGTGGCTGACTGTCACGGGGAAGGTCATTGTCTTAGTGGGGAACAGTACGGAAGTTACGTACAACCAGTTATTTGTCTAATGAACGCTGGGGCTGCTTGGGTCCCGCTTAGCATCTCGTTACCCTGTAAAATCAGTACAACTTATTTTTACAGATTTTTACATGAATTTGGCTAACTTTACCCAAATGAGCAAAACTTAATATCGCCGATTTTACAAGGTAGCGAGATGTTAAACGAGAACCGAGCAGCCTCTGGGTACTGTACTGTCTGGCAAGGCCCGGCAGAAATTTCCCACGGCGCGTCGACCTAGGAAAATTTGCTGAGCTCTTGAGAACTCATGGGAATTTCCAGTTTTTCCAAATTCTCCAGTTGGTGGAACTCCCCCACCAGTGCTTGCGATCTTCGGTTGCTCTTGGGTTTTAAAATATATTTTTACTATTTTGATAACGTTCGAAAGGATGCGGGAGACATTTTCAACTCCAAGCCCATAAGTTAAACCAATTCTGGGATCATTTATCAGTCATTGGCAATCAACTGTTCACAGAAATAACTAGCTGGCTAGCCGCCGGTGTCGGGTCGATGGCCGCCGACTCTAAAAACGACTAGCCGCAACAAATGTTGCGTAGAGAATTTCAAGGCAGAGTTCATTACGTTACTTCGGTGTCTTGAAAATGAAGCGGTATTCTCATGCCCCTGGACCCTTGACAAGTCCTTTTCAACCAGCCAAAGAGCTGTCAGCCATGTCGCTGCAGTCAAGCAAGCCAAGTCACCAATAATACCATCTGACCTCCATGTCAAGTGCAGATTGATTACACGCAAACTATTCCTTGCTCTAAGGCAGCGAATCTGCGCCTCTCCCTTCACGCCACCTGGCTGCATGTTGATTTCACTGATTTCCGACTCGCTTGCTGAATAGAAGTGTTCCTGACACTTGTCGAACACGAAAGCCAATGCGGTTCTGTTTTGGATGCTGTCAGACAAGCCAAAGCTCTCTGAAAGATGGGAAATATGGGCAACAAACTAGGATTAGGGATCGAGTCGCTTGATACAGGAACGTTGGTGTCAATTTACCGTTAATATGCGATGGTGCGCTAAGAATCGCTAGTCACTATATGTTCTCAGGATCCACATACGGAAATAAAGCGTAGTTGTAGGCATCTGTCCAGCTATAGACGCGCTAAAACTACTTGAACTCGCGGTTCAGCCACCCGAGACGCGCGAACCAGCGCTGTTTTAGCGGTCACTTCGCTTATATTAGCACTTACTTAAAGCGTTATTCTGCCCGACCCTAATTTTAAAGTGGTTCATACGCCGTTGGTCCCCGTATACTATAACCCCCACCCGAGGTTTAAAAACGCCACGAGGGCTGTAAAGGCATCCCAAGAAATAGAAGTTCACTTCGAGCGCCCGTGGGACCTTGGATAACGTTGCGGTTTTGAGGGGCGCCCGTGGCGTTCGAAAATACAACCGAGCTATCTTCAGGATATCCTGCCCCCCCCCCAAAAAAAAACAAACCAGACGCAAGAAAAGGCTTCAAAGACGCCGGCGCGCGCTGAAGGAGTCTGACGCGCCTCAGTGTGTGTGCATAGCGTTTTAGCGCTGCATTCATTGAAACTGGTGCCCGTAGATAGGGTGTATCCTTCAAATTCCTGGATCGATTTCTGGCTGGCCAATTCGTTCGTTGCACAACGCAAAAAGCTGACCGACGTGTAAAGGGGATGTTCAACATTTCTATGCGGTTTTTAATCGAATTAGCCATCTTGAAGGTCATTCGGCACAGTTCACAGCCCCGCCCTTCTTGAGAACCCAGACTTCTCCAGTTTCTGAGCTACACGCCAGCGAAGATGAGGGTTTTTCGGGGGGAGTATTTCAAGGTCACTCAGGCATTCATGACATAAAAACGTCATTCATGGTCGAGTTATTCATATCCGGCATTCGTGAGCACGATTTCCAGATAAAATGGCCGTCAATTAGCTCTCGGTCAATGTTGTGCAAGGCACGATGACGTAATCAAATAACTTATCGAGGACATATTTGCTAAACCGAGAAATCATGTGGTCTAGAGCAATCTTTTGTATTAAAAAACATGCCAATATATATAAGCGAGCTTGTTTCATCACATCTGATGCTGGTTTTAATATCTTCAGCTGTGAAGCATTCCCTTTAAGGTTGTATTGAAACCATATCCCAATATCATGCACATCACTCAGCACAGATCGAACACCTAAAATCACGCAAGGTTGGCAGCGCCAGCTCATGCAAGCCGCGCAACTAATCCACATTCAAAACTTGCATTCATGCTCAGCGCCCCTAGCTAACGAATATTTCACATTTCTGCCACCCATACCCAAAGCTTGGTCACGCCCACGCCACCCACGACAAAACTCTTTCATGGCAGCAATCATCCCACTTAAAATTATCCATGTCCCTCACAATCCCGGTCAGAACTTTTTTACGCACGCGGCCACTCGCTCAGAACCTCTTCTTGTCTGCAGCAATATATTCAGAGCATCGTCTTGCCCACAGCACTGCTCTCTGGACTATTTTCAGTCAGCGGCACTCCCAACTGGTACTCCTTCATGTCCGCCACGCCTCCACCCAGAACTCCTTCGTCCATGGCGTCCCCACCCACAAATCCCGTGCGCCCATGAGTTCCCACTCAAAACTCCTTCATGTCCGAGGCGCAGAAGCGCTGGATATCGTCCATGCTCATGGCGCTAAGTCGGAGCTCGAACTTCTTCTTGAACTCGGCGAGCAGCCGGGGTGCGTCCTCCTTGCCCAGGTGACGCTCGGCCAGGCTCTGGAGCGGCGCCCACGGGTCGGTCGGAGGTGCCGAAGCCGTCGTCTTCATCGTCACCAGGAACACCTTGGCGCCGGGCGTGAGGCGCGACGACGTCACAGTCTCGTCGTCCTGTAGCGTCTTGCCACGGTATACCAGCTTCTGCGTCTGCTTGGGCACCCGGAGCTTCGACTCCACCAGCGTCTTCAGCATGGATATCGTTGTATCCTGTGAGACCTCGACCTGGCACTCCTCGCCCTGCAGTATCTTTACAGTGATCTCCATGTGAGCTTGGCGCGTCTGTCTGCAACAAAGATGGTTGTTCAGAAATGCCAGCCGTAAACAACAGCGTCGAAGCCGTGGCTCTTTTTCACAACTGCTGACATCGTCCAAACCTAGACGTAACACGACCGCTTTAAGCCTCACACAGGTCACGCGGCGATGTACATGGCCAAGGCTGCTGCGACCACACGCTTGTCAACCAGCCAGTGGTGCAGCAGGTTCTGGTACAGCCGCAGGTCTTTCCTAAAGGAGTCAGCGGACAGTGCACCCATGTGGGTCTCCCCACCATTGTCCGCTGGGGCCCTTAGGAATGGCCTAAGGCTGTACAAGGAGATCGCTGCTCGAGCAACCGTTGCACTACCGGACGGTTGACAAGCCCACGGTCGGAGCAGCGTTGGCCGATGTACCTCCACTTGGCCTGTCTGAGGCCCGAGACGGTCGTGCTCCGTCTGGCTTCGGGTGACGTCCGCCCTCGTGACAACGCAGCTATGGCAATGACGCTGTCGGCCATCCCAGCGGCGGGCCATTTTGAAGGTGTTGCGCCATTTATCGACTCGGAGATACAACTGTTGGATCCGGTATGCGAGTCCTCTTGGCTGGTATTCCACCTTATTCGGATCAGAGGCAGCCGGTGGTTAACAAGCGACTTGATGTACGGGAATGAGAAGTAATCACGCGACGCGAGGGTCTGCTTGGTAGCGACATTGTTTTCATTGACACGGGTTGACATTTTCTTTTCTTTTGGTGGAGGTCGAACAGACGAAAGCGTGGTCCAAGTAAAGTCAGGTGCGGGTTAAAAATGGGGTTTAACGAGCCTACACGACCGTAGTGAACACACAATCAAGCTCTTCGTCGGAAGTATTTGTTTGATTCTCATCTTGACACAATTCGAATATTTTTGGTTTTAAGCATTGCTTCCCCATTCACGTTCTGGAGAATGCCACTTTCTAGAGCAACGGCAACTAAACAACTGCATATCACAAGCCGTGCCAGTAGTCAGCGCTGGTTTGCGGCAAGTGTGCATAGAAAAACTTTGTATGTCTCTTGTTCGGAAGATAAGGTTTGCGTGCCTTCAGTTGGTCAAGATAGAGCACGGAGGGGGGAAGCTGTAACGTGAAAAGTTTGTAAAGTAAAACTTCAAGCAGGCTAAAGCTTGTGTGATAAAATGTTCCTCGGGAAAGTGTGTAACACGAAAGGTTCGCGCACGCAGAAGTCAGCAGTGTATACAGGAGTTCGTCAAGCAGCATCCATGACAGGTGTGTAAATAGCAGCGCCTTATTGGGCAAGCGTGCTGTGGCCGGTTTTTTCATTTGATCCATTTGATCGCTGTAGGCCATTTCAACTTGCTTCAGACTGGTGATAACTCTGCCCCAGTTAAGTGACCATGGTGATAACTGGTGATAACTCTGTGCCCCAGTCAGTTATCACCATGGTCATCCACCCCACTCAGTCATCAAGACCATCTAGAGCTGTTTCCTGTTTCCAAATTCCCGGCAGCCAGCACACTTAAGGGTGGGTGGAACCCCTAGGGTGATGACAGCCAGCCAGGTGCTGGCGGTCGTGAGGTGGTCATTTGCCAGCATCAACATTTACATGCCGCACTGCTGCAAGGACCAAAGCGTACCCATTTTTGGAGCATGGTAACATCATCTTGGGCACGTTCGGCAAACTGGATCAGGAGCGGCTAGAGCTGGTTCAATGATGAGCTACCTGCCTTGTCCAAGAAGTGAAGCATCAGCTATATCCTGAAAAACTCCTACTCCTCAAGCCATGCTGGATGTAATGCCACTGTCACGGGAGAGACATGGCTGGGCTGCAGTATTTCAAATGTTTTAGAGAGCCATGCCCCTGTCAGTGCAGAAATTCCTGACAAAACACAATTCAAAGAAGACAAGAGAATGCCTATGGAGGCTGATGGAACCTTAAACTATGACGCTTGTCCATTGAAACTTGTTCGGCACTCTGATCATAAATAATTGGAAATGCTATTCCATCTGAAGTTGCACCACCAACCTCTACTATTAGGCACCAAATCCACAACAAGCACCCAGTCCATACAAATCACCAGTCCCATACAAAGCAGCAGGTGCATACCAGGGCCAAATTCCCCATTATCATTCCACATATTCCCCGTAATTCCCCCCAACAGCTGTCCTCGAATCACAACCTGATGTTAGGGGTACCTCAGCACACATCAGTTCCTATGGTTCAGAGAATAGTTGCTTGTGTGTGACATATGCACTTGCACCATTGTAGGTGGCAGCTCAGGCAGGTACCTCGCCAATGAAGAATGTGGCCGATGTGATCTTCACCTTTCAGTTGATGCTTGTTTCTGGACCATGAACTCAACCATCAATCTGTCACACAATGCCAATGCCGTTGGTTGAAAGGCTAGACAATGCACAGGCATGTACGTGCAATTACAAACGTTTTTCAGGGATGCATTTGCCTTCCTTCATGACTTCAGTGATTTAAAAAAATAAGGTTATCGCGCTTTGGTCAACGTTTCACACTTCATTCACACAACACCTGAACCGACGTCTCACCTGGCAGTTTGATGTACCGTCTAGATGTCAAGAGAGCTAAATAAGCCACCTGGAAGCCACAGCCGCGCCTATAAGCAATCTAGGAAATTCAGCCACAGAACATCGCGATTACAACCCACTACAAACCAGGGGCAACGTCCACGGGTCAGGATGCGTTTTCGCGTTACGCCCGCGGAGTATTTTCAGGGGGCGTTCAAGCTTAACTCGTCCGATATTTCAATTTACGCAATCCCTTAAGGACCCGCGGCGAAAACCACGCAACTGCTACATTCGTGGTACCAGAAGGTGTATGCAAAATCAAGCTAACGTAGGGGTCCTTATCTAGTTGCAGCGAATGAATGCAGCGGTTGTCCGCTAAAGCTGCTATATCTCCGAAATTGCACGCTGTGAGCAGCATTGATATCTTATCTGTGAAATCGGCGAGGAGACATAAGGTGAATCCAAGGTAATCCGATTGGCAAATCTGTAATTGTTTGGCTAAGGGGTCTATTCCGGGCGTGAACGTGCTTAAGACCAACTACTATCAAGGCCTTCCACGAAAAGGAAGGTTGCATGTAGGCCATCAGCGGGCCCAGAAATGATCGTTTGTGGTGCCTGTGGGTGGGGCTCCTGCAGCTGATCGACTGTCATTACCGTTTACATATGTATGCCTGTGTCTTGCATAGGCCTTCTTTCATAAATCTATTCCAAGCATTTTCATTGGATGGATTTCTGACACCAGAGCTATGCTAAGCAATGCTTGTTTTGTAACCCTGACCTGTCATCTTATCATGAAAACTCAGTTCCATGGCAGTATGTTGTGGATCAAGTTCATCATGCTGCTATACTTGGTGCCTCTGCCCATGTCTGTCATCATTACCTAACCTTCAGTGGTGGCCACCATTGGCTACAAGCATCCCAGCATGGTGGGAATACTTAGAACTGAAAGAGCCAAACCACCCACTGTTCCATGGTGTTGAATGGGGCAGGCACTCCTACTGGTTGAGCCGTGGGTGCGTAGAGGTGGATGCTGTAGCCTAATAGGCTGACTTGTTTGCTGATGTCATTAATACTCAGGACAGAGAAAGCTGTAATGCTATTTTCATGGTCCTGTGTCAGGCAGGCATGGTATGTCAGCTATGGAAGTCCCAATTTTGCATGGTTTGATCTGAGTTGTCATCTTTTGTCCTCAAACTAAATAGCTGGATGCCACTAGATGTGCATTGTGGTAGCTTTCAACCACATAATTTTATCTTGCTTGGTTTTTAAATGGTGGTGACATTGGGATCCTACTAGTATGCTTGATACTGGATACCATAGAAAACTTTCATTAGAAACACTGTGGTGGTCTGTACCACTTTGTTCTATTTGGTAAGGTATGAAGCAGACTCAGGTGGGGCTAATTGGACCCCACTGTGGTAGGGCAAAGTAGTAAGAATCCCAGGTAGATCCAGTGTAGGGTTATGCCCTGACAGTTCTGGAGGTGAATTAAGTTCTCATTCCAGCTGAAGAGTTGAGTCTGTAATGAGTTTGGAGATCAATGAAGCAATATCCACAGGCCTGCTGGCCCTGTAAACTTAAAGTGCTGTGTGATAAGGCGACATGTGTATGTGTGATAAGGCAACATATGTATTAACTTTATGAATTGTGAATTGGGGTATTCATTGAGACTGACTTTTTAAGTATTTGATACCTCTCCTTTCTCTTGATTTAAATGCAGCATCATGTCCTGCCATCAGCTCACACAATACTTAGCAGCCATGCAATGAGTGTGTCAGATGCCAGCCCTCTTTCTGGCCAGTTGTGTCATGTGCTGGTGAGCTGCATGGCATCTACCAGCCAGTCACTGGATGTGCCAGCTTGGAACCACCAATGTGCCTTACCCCATGCTCTGCCAGCAGGTGGTGTGATGTACAGCAGCCGGGCCCTGCGTGTGGTGCGCTGGGGCCGCCACACCTGCCACTGCTTGGACGCTGCTGCCCAGCTGCACACCAGGCAGTTTGCACCCAAGAAAGCCCTGATCCTCACTAAGTTTTCAAGATATGAATTTGAGAAAAAGAGGCATGGAAACATTCCGGAGGTCAGTGTGATATTGACTGGATTGGTGGGGCCAGCTGATCAGTACTGTTGATGTTGATGAGTCTCCATTTTTTGTCACGGGGCTGGATGCTACTGTGTGTTGACAGTGGTGTCCTGTATGAACTGTGATAACAGACCGGTCATTGACTTAGGCGGAGCTGGAGAAGAGACTGAAGGAGCGTGGATCAGACTACAACATGCTGCTTTACCACCACTACCTGCATAAAGGCTGTGAGAACACTGTGTGCAAGCTCTCCGCAACCAGAACATTGACACAAAGGTTGTTACAAGGTGAGCTGCAAACCTGGTGATCGTGATGCCTCAATGTAATGATTTGGATGGACATTGATACTTGTGAAGGAAATGAACAGGTATTTTCTGTCATTCATTCATGACTGCTGCAGGATTGTTTGATGTATGAATTTATGGAGGTGGTGCTTACTGGATTGAAAAATGTGGGTTAAGAAAAAGTAGGGTACCTGCAGTGCTAAGCCTTAAGCAGACATTGCATGTTGTGAAAGTTGGGAATTGCATGAGTCATGAGGCATGCAATGAAGATGATTTGACATCCATGTTAGCTTTAGCAGCTGGACACTTTAGCCTGGTAATTGATAAAGTTAAAACTGATGAAGAAGGCATGAATGCTTATGACTGATGATCATTTTGTTATCCTCAGGTTCGATTATAAATCCGATGTGATCGAGGAGTCTGACATCGTTTTCACAATGGGCGGCGATGGCACGTTCTTGCTCGGGGCGACGCGCATCCTGCATCCAAACAAGCCTATAGTGGGAATCAACAGCGACCCCACGCGCAGCGAGGGCCACCTGCTGCTGCCCAAACGATACTCGGTCAACATCAAGGAGGCTGTTCAGAGGCTGCTCGCAGTAAGCTGAGCTATCATCGCGATTTATCGTTCAATGCGGGGCTGAAATACTCGGTCAGGAATCTCCAACACCATTGACTTGTTTGGCATTGACATTTTGACGAGATGTGACAACTGACGTGACATGCTGCGGCGTCACTGGACCAGCTGTCGCTTTCGTTGATAGGAAGACTTATGCTCAGCTAGATCGGGGCATCGTCGGTGGCAGAATGGACCTTTCTTTGCTTCATGGCTCGCTTTCATTTCCGTGACTTGATTCTGCCTGGCACAAACATGTGCTGACTCGGTGTTGGCACCTCCGTGTCAAGCGCCGTAGGTGCGTCCTTACACTGCCAACATACCGCTGGACCCTCGACACCGCATAAGCAGTTGACGCCCGCCTCTGCTCGCCCATCACGTGTGACCTTGACATGACGGACGGCTCCACCAGGGCAAGTTCCGCTGGCTGTTCCGCAAGCGGATCCGAATGACGCTGATCGGCCAGGACGTGTACAAGCCTCCGGTCGAGCTCCACAACCAGCAGCTGCTCAACCCCGAGTACAGGTCAGGCCCGGCGCCTGCGTCCCGGGGAACGGCGGTCCTGTCTGGTGGCCGAGCTGTGGGGCCTATCACTCAGTCGACAACACGTCCCCAAAACCGGTGAACCAGTCATATTTTGATACCAAGTAGCTTGAGAGGCGGAGGAGTAGTAATCGTCCTGTGATCGAATAAAAGACAATGTTGCCTCCCCAGCAAAGGTTTCCCTTTTCACAGTGTTGAACACTGGAGCACTGCCTGGTGAGGGAGTCTTCATAAAACCAGCGAGAAAAACCCATGTATGGGATGCACATTAGGGCAATTGGTACCCAGCTATCAAGCCAATGTGCTTTACTATGCATGTACATTTGCACTTTACTGTAGCGTGCATACAAAATAAATGAACTTATATCTCCAGGTACATATTTTCCTAGTGAATGATCAGACAAACTATACATGACAGCGATAAAAAGTGCAATACGCAGGTAGGCAAATTGTCAGTTTATTTCCAAACGGTTTCTTGGTGATGCCCATTGGCAGGAGCATCACTGGATGGGAGATCTCCACCCGAACCGTCCAAGTTACCCGCTTGCTGCTGTAGGTGTAGGGGGATATCAACATCCCCGTTGGCTGAAACCATACAACTGATAGGGCGCTTTGCGCACGACACGCCCGTACCCCTTGTTCGTGGCGCTGGTCTGTTCCCGTGGTCTGCTGTATGTATGAAATTTGGTGGTCGTTGGTCTTGTCTCCTGTAAATCTTCATGATTCGTGGCTTATCGTTTTGCTGTTGTTTGCACGCGTTTCCTTTCTTCGTGCTCGCTCTTGTGTATGGTGTCTC